GGGAGGTGGGGGGGAGAAGAGAGAGAGAGAGAGAGAGAGAGAGAGAGAGAGACAGAATATCCCAAGCAGGCTCCACACTGCCAGCACAGAGCCTAATGCAGGATTTGAACCCATTAAGCCGCAAGATAATGACCTGAGCGAAAACCGAGAGTCAAACGCTTAACCAACAGAGCCACCCAAGTGTCCCCCCCACGCCAAATTTTTTAAATACCATTTACTATAGCATAAAAAATATATATAATACTTAGGGATAAAGCTTATTTTAAAAAACCTGAAGGATTTTACAAAAAAAACACAAGATACTACTAAGAGAAATTATAGACAAAAAAATCTAGGGACATACCATGTTCATGGGTCAAAAGAATCGATATTGTTAAGAGGTCAGTTCTCCCCAAATTGACACAGAGTCAATGCAATCTCAATCAAATCTCAACAGGCTTTTTTTGTTTAAACAAAAGTTCACAGGTGATTATAAATTTCATAGGGAAATACAAATAACCTAAAATAGCCAAAACAACTTTGAAAAAGATTTACGATACAGCTGCAGTGATCCAAACTATCTGGTACTGGCATAAAGATATACAAAAGATCAATGAAACAAAATAGAGCCCAGGATGCACGCATATATGGACAACAAACTTTTTATGATGGTGCTAAGTCAAATGAAAAAAGGGTAATCTTTTCAACAAATGGTGCTGAAAATACTGGATAGCCATATGCAAAAAAAAAAAAAAAAAAAAAAAAAAAGAACTTCAATCCATCCTTTGCAACATACATAAACATTAACTCAAAAACCTTCAAAACTCATCAGAAACTTGAATGTAAAATAAAAACTATGAAACTTAAATAGGAGAAAATCTTTGTATCCTAAGCTAAAGCAAAGCATGACAGCAACAGCATGATATATAAAGTAAAAACTTAAATATGTTTTGAAACTCATCAAAATAAAAAACATCTTTTCTTCAAAAGACTCTGTCAAGAGAATGAAAAGACAAGCCACAGACTGGGAGAAAATATTTCTGAAGTATATACCTGCAAAAGGACTTATATCCAGAATATGTAAAGAATTCTCAAAACTCAACAGTAAGAAAACAAACAACCCAATTTAAAAATTGGGCAAATAACTTGAACAGACACCTCACCAGAGAAGATATATGGATGGCAAATAGCACTTGAAAAGATGTTCAACATCACTACTAACTAGAAAAATACAAATTAAAACCACAATGAGATACTGTAACACATCTACTAGAATGCCTAAAACATTAACAAATATTGGAGAAGATGTAGAGAAATTGGAACTCTTACACAGTGCTAGTAGGAATATAAAATGATGCACTCTGGGAACATGTTTGGTAGTTTTTCAAAAATGTAAATATGTACCTACCATTTGATTTAGCCATTTCATTTTTTGATTTTTTTACCCAAGAGAAATGAAAGTATACGTCAATACAAGGATTTGCACATGAATGTTCATAGCAGCTTTATTTGTAACAGCCTCAAACTGGAAATAATCCAAATATTCAACAATAAGTGAATGGATAAATAGTGGTATATCTATATGATGGAATACTACTGAGCAATAAAAAGGAATAAACTATTCACTATGCTAGCGAAAGAAGTCATACCCTCAATCTACCCTCAAAAAGAGTGCATGATTAGATTTAGTACAACTGTAGCACATTTGAACAAATCTACAGTGATAGAAAGCAGATCAATGACTGCCAGGGGTGGGGGTAAGACTGGGATAGAGAGGATTATAAAGAAGCAAGAGTAAATCTTTGGGTTTGGTACATGTGTTCATTATCTTGATTGTGGTGATGGTTTCATGGTTATACTTGTGTACCAAAACATATCAAGTTGTACATTTTAAATAAGTGGAATTTATTGTATGCTAATTATACCTCAGTGAAATTATTATAAAGTGAAACAAGAACAAATGACTCCAAGGATATTGCCCCAAGCTGCACAAGAACTGAATTCCCATCAACTGAGAATGAGAAGGATAAAGAATAAGCAAATTGTGAAGGGAAAACGGAAATTCAATTTTTAAAACATTGAGTTTAAAATGTCTATTATATATGCAAAGTGGAGACATCAACAGGGCAACTGAAAATATAAGTCTCTATAGAGTTCAAGAAAGAACTCTAAGATGATGTTATAAATATAGAAGTCTTTGGCACATAAAAGGAATATTTAAAGTCAGCTGTGCTTCAATGAAGTACAGATAGTGCTCAATAAAAATTAGTGAAATGAATAAAAGTTCTAAGCACTTTACATGATTAACTTATTTCTTCCTAAAATATATATAAAGTAGGAATTATTACCTCTATTTCATAGATAAAGAAACTAAGGCACAGGGAAACGAGTCCTTGGGAGTAAAAACGTAAGTCACACATCCCCAGACTATTAACTAATAAAATACAGTAGCCAAAACTTTAATAAGCCTAGAAACAAATTCCCAAATCCACAATTGACATATTAATGACCTCTCTTAAATTTTATATATATTAAAATCAGTGTAAATCTATAAGCTGAAGAGATTAAAACCTGTGCTACCCAGCTAATACATTTGTGTCATTTAAGAATTTCTAGAAGGAAAAAGCAGGATGTTTTAAGCTGGTTACCTCAGCTGATTAAGAAACTGAAGGGTACAGAAGTTTAATGAGGAAAAACTTGAACTGGGATTGAAACAGCTATAGAAACTACATTACAGTCTACTGGAGGCAAAAAAGAAAGTTCTATATTGGCATTTAGGGAAATGACCTAGTAGGTAAAATATCAGAAGCTCCTAGTCTAGGAAAATGTCATTTAAATTTCAAGGAAATATGTTCGTTGAATTTTAATTCTAACCTTTAAAAAAAAAAACTTGGAAAGGTTAAAATACTACATCAAATGCTATAATCAAAGACATAAAATTAGAGACATGAAAGGCCACTTTTTGTTATAAAAAAATTGCTGTGTTGCTAAGGCCTCATTCAGACATAATGGGAGACTAATACAGGACTTTTTACAGGTTTTTTTTCATTAAATACTATTATTCTGCCCCACTTAAGTTCATTTTGTGTGTGTGTGTGTGTGTGTGTGTGTGTGTGTGTGTATTAAGTTCATTATATTATAAACTATAGTAATTAACAAAGGTAATTACTTTGACTTCTATAAAACCTTGGCTTATTGAAGATCTTAAACACTGCCTCAACCAATATGTTCAATTTCATCCAGTTCTTAGTTCATTAAATCAAAAATAAAGATAATAATCTAATATTTTTTTCAAAGCCTTTCATCCAGAAATGGTCAGTGGCATACCAATTTCATTCAACTTTTTACCAAGAAATAAGGAAAAAGACAATTAAAAAAAGATCGACAACCATCTCATCTCCATGTGCCATTAAAATGTAGAAGGGAGGAGTCTCTGTAACTCAAGTAGAACAAAGTGGTCAGTATTATTAACAACAAATTAAACTTTCTGATTTTTTTTTTTTTAATTTTTTTTTCAACGTTTATTTATTTTTGGGACAGAAAGAGACAGAGCATGAACGGGGGAGGGGCAGAGAGAGAGGGAGACACAGAATCGGAAACAGGCTCCAGGCTCTGAGCCATCAGCCCAGAGCCCGACGCGGGGCTCGAACTCACGGACTGCGAGATCGTGACCTGGCTGAAGTCGGACGCTCAACCGACTGCGCCACCCAGGCGCCCCTAAACTTTCTGATTTTTATTTACAACAGCTGAGTTATAGTCATCCTGACCATGTTTGTGGAGGTTGAAAATCAATACATTTTAATAATTACATGCTTAGAATCCATGAAAGGAACCTCAAGCTTTCCAAAAATTCATCAGGATACCAAAAAGTGTTACAAGGTCTCCAAGAGTTTGACTAATTCATGAGATGGGCAGTTTTCAATGAAATTAGGCACTAAAAAGTTCAATTAATAGCAAATACCAACATCTACCCAGTTGATCCAATTTATCATCAACTTCTGAGAATTCTATGTCCAATATGTTTCACTTTGCTCCATTTCTACTCTTTTATTGTCACTATCAGTTCTTGCCTGAATTATGCCAGAGCCTCTTACCCACCTTCATGTGCCCCTCCATCTATCCTCCACACAGGAGCTAGCCAGAACTACCTGAATACAGAGGTAAAGTTCAAACTTCTAGAAGGGGCTTCATAAGGCTCCTTTATAGTCTGATCTCTTCATGTTTTCCTGGCTTCATCCTCTACCACTGCTATACATACACCCACCCAACATATAGAATTGTGTGTTCTCCCACACACACACACTAGACCTCAGCCACACTCAGCTGTCTGCAGGTCCCCAAGAGCAACAGCTGCCCTTAAAGTCTCTGCACCTGCTGCTTTCTCCGACTGGATTGCTCTCTCCATTCCCATTAACTTTTTTGCTTTCACTCATCCTGAAGTCTCATTTTAAAAGCTGCATTCTCAGGGCGCCTGGGTGGCGCAGTCGGTTAAGTGTCTGACTTCAGCCAGGTCACGATCTCGCGGTCCGTGAGTTTGAGCCCCGCGTCAGGCTCTGGGCTGATGGCTCGGAGCCTGGAGCCTGTTTCTGATTCTGTGTCCCCCTCTCTCTCTGCCCCTCCCCCGTTCATGCTCTGTCTCTCTCTGTCCCAAAAATAAATAAACGTTGAAAAAAAATTTTTTTTTAAAAATAAAAGCTGCATTCTCTGCAATACCTTCTTTGTCCAGTTCCTTCCCTCCTAACCCCATTTGATGAGCCATAATACCTTGCATTCAGCCTTCACCTTGCAATTCTCATTCTGAATCATAAGTGTCTATTTATCTAATTTTCTATTGTAATGTAAGCTTTCCAAAGGTAAGGGATGGTGTCTTATTCACTACCGTATCCTCAGTATCTAGCTCAATGCCTGACCCACAATAAAAGCTGAACAAATTTGCTCAGTGAATGTACTGTGAAAGGTACTCCATTCATAGAAAGGACATATAGCAATTTTGAAAATGTTAATTAAAGGAAGTAACATACCTGTCTTTCCAAATCCTGTCCTGTTATACCAGCCTCTACATGAGCTGTCAGATTGTTCTCATCAACCCAGAGGATTCGATTCTGTTGCAAATGAAGAAAAAATTCTCATCTCTATGAACTGTTGACATTTTCTCAGGAAATATAGCTTCCTAATTCAAGGTAGCAAGTTACAAGACAGAAAATAAGCAAGTAGGGTTACCCTCACTACAAAATTCCATTTATCCCAGACTATAAAACATGACAGACATAGCAACTTAGGCAGTATATTGCACAAGAGTTGGTTTAAAAGATAGACTCTGTCTTTATTCATTATCAATTTGAATTAAACTGTACTTACCTTACGCAAATTATTTAACTGTCTACTTTTAGTGCTTCCTCATTGTACAGTGTGAATAGTAATACTACTCATAAGGTTGGTGTAAGGATTAAATGAGATGCTGCACATAAAAGCTTAGCATATGGGGGCACCTGGCTGGAATAGTTTGTGAAGTGTACAGCTCTTGATCTTGGGGTTGTGGGTTTGAGCACTCCACACTGGGTGTAGAGATTACTTAAAATAAAATCTCAAAAAAAAAAAAAAAAGTCTTAGCATACAAAGTTCCTGGCATTCTGTAAATACCATCTGCACTACCATTAATAGTTATAAATCATATCTAATTTAAGAATATCAGAAGATGGCCATTGTGAGATTAAAAAAAGACATGTGCATATAGTAAATGGCATTCCTACTATATTTTTAATCCGAAATAGGGCCAGAGGCTCTGGGTAGGAAACAAAGCACACCCCTGCCTCCTACTTGAAAAGAAGAAACTGAATATCATCTGGCTCAACTTACAAAATGTTTACAGAATGTTTTTGACATTCTTATTTGACCTAATTTTTTATATGTATGAATTACTTTGTACTATTAAAGTCAGACTTCTTTTCCCTTCTATTTGGCTGAGCAAACAGATTAACATATAGACCTTCTTCTGGATCCCACAGAAGCTTTCTTTGCACTTTGATATTTTCAATTTCATGGCAATAACTAATGCAGGTAAGTCTAGCTAATAACAAAAAGGAAAGAACGCAATAGACAATATGAAAATTGTCTTGTAGTCCAAATTTGAACACATACAAATAACTGCACTGTTTAATTCACAGGATTATGATAAACATTAAATAAGATGACATATGTGAATGTAATTTTTGTTTTATGTTATGTAAAGCTATCATTTTAATTATACTCTCACAATAAGACATAGTAATTTCAATATAACTATGGCAAATGAGTCTTTTGGTCTGTACTAAACTGTAAGGTAAAAAGACAGAATCCAGTAATCTGAATAACTTATACACTTCTCCCCTAGTAGACTGGTTGTTAAAGTGATTACATGCTTGTGGTAATTATACACCTTGTATCTACCAGTGGTCCCAACATATTTTTGGTAGATCAAAGAAACTGAAAGGAGGCAAAGAAAAACAAACACCTTTATGGGCACTCATAGAGAAACCTATAGAAAATATATAGGATACCCTATTATATCTAGTATACAACCCAATACAAGTTAATGATAAAATAAAAACTTTGAGATCAATAGGTCTTAGTATTATTGTAGATATTTAAGTAGAAAACTGGCATTACTAATTATCACATTTTGTATACATTGTACCAGAAGTACTCGTGCAAAATCTTGCACACATACCTTATCAACTTCAAAGCAAATCACAATTATAAGTACCATCCATCCACTACAATATTTAGGAGAGTTTAACATTAAAGGCAGTGAATACACAAGGTTTTTCTACAAAATAAATGGTTAAAATTCTGCCATTTAAAATTCTGCTACAGAATTTTCAGCATCTATCTACTCAATGTAAAGACTTTTATCTCATTTAATCTTCAAAATTACTTTCTGTATTATTACTATTTTACAAATTCAGTAACAGATTTAGTGGTAAATTTGTACACAGTACACAGAAATTCAAAAACATTCCAAAGTCTATTCCAGAACAGGCTACTCTTAGGTAATCTTCTAAGGAAGATTCTTCTCTTAAACTCAGAGATAAGAACAAAGGTTAATGGGAAACTTTACAGAATAATCAGCCTATCACCATCTGAACCTGCTGATTAATTTTAGCAATACTTAAAGTGGACAAACAGATATTATGTGTGATGTGACATGACATAAAAAAATATGTCATCATCTACAAGATATCCTTGCTGAAAAAAAACTTTTAAAGCTATGCCTGAATCTAACTAGACTTTATATCTAACTTCCAGGTCAGAGGACATACAAAACCTAGAGGAAGAGTTAAATGATACCAAGATGAAGTGACAGGCAAATTCAAAATATGATATAATTTATACTACAAATCACCTAATTCCTCCAAAAGTCAGCAATATTCAAAAAAGAAGAAAGATAAAATGGGACTTAAGGAAACAACCAAAAGCTAACGTGGGTCTTGTCTCAATCCCCATATGAACAGATGAAGTATAAAATAAAAACAATTTTGAAACCACTGTAAAATCTGAATGTGAAACTCTATGTTAAATGACACAAGGAACTGTTTTTAAGTTTGACAGGAGCAACAATAATATAGTGAGAAAATGTTCTTTTAAAAACAGATACACAGAGGGGCGCCTGGGTGGCGCAGTCGGTTAAGTGTCCGACTTCAGCCAGGTCACGATCTCGCGGTCCGTGAGTTCGAGCCCCGCGTCAGGCTCTGGGCTGATGGCTCAGAGCCTGGAGCCTGTTTCTGATTCTGTGTCTCCCTCTCTCTCTGCCCCTCCCCCGTTCTTGCTCTGTCTCTCTCTGTCCCAAATATAAATAAACGTTGAAAAAATAAAAATAAAAACAGATACACAGAATAACTAAAACTATCATTGTTTGTGGGGGTGTAAAATGGTGCAACTACTCTGAACAAAGACCTGGAAATTGCTTGTAAAACTGACATGTACCTACTATGATTTAATTCCACTCTTACATATTGACCTAACAGAAATGAAAGCCTATGTTTACAAAAACACCTATTCAAGAATATTCATAATAACTTCATTTATAAAAGCCAAACCTGGAAAGAGCATAGGTGTCCATCCATAGAAAAATGGATAAACAAACTATGGTATAGTTATATAATACAGTATCACTCAACAGGAAATAGAAATGCACTAGTGATAAACTCAGGAACAGAGTAATCTCAAAAACATTATACTGTGTGAAAAAAACCTGACACCAAAGAGTATGTAGTATATGATTCTGTTTATATGAAGTTCTAGAACTAAAAGTGATTTACTCTGGGTGATCGAAGAGGGCTGGGGATTTGTTCGGAATTTTCTGAAGTCATAGAGATTTGACTAGCATAGGTGTAGACATTTGTCAGAACTCACGGAAATGTACGCTTAAGATGTGTGTATTTTATGTAAACATGTCTTTTACCTAAAAAAAAGAATTATAAAAAATCATAAACTTTCGATCCTAGTAATGATATACAAGCCAAAGTATTTGGGGGGAATGGTAGTGATGTCTACTACTTTAAAAAAATATCCAACAATAAGATAGGTTCATGGATGGACAGAGGGAAAGAATGATGGTGGTGGGTATATGAGTGTTCATTGTAATTTTTTTCAACTTTTCTGTGTGGTTAAACATTTTCATAATAAAATGTTACGAAAGGAAAAAAACAGATACACAGAAATATTTACTTGTAAGTAGCATAATATCAGGATTTGCTTTTAAAATAGTAGAAAAACGGGGGCACCTAGGTGGCTCAGTCAGTTGAGCGTCCATCTTCGGCTCTGGTCATGATCTCATGGCTCTTGGGTTCAAGCCCAGTGTCAGGCTCTGTGCTAACAGCTCAGAGCCTGGGGCCTGCTCCAGATTCTGTCTCCTTCTCCCTCTGCCCCTCCCCCACTCACACTGTTTCTGTCTCTCAAAAATAAATAAACGTTGGGAAAAAATAATAAAATAAAATAGAGAAACAAAGGAAGATAAAGCCAATATTACAAAATGTTAATAATTCCTTAATCTAGAAAATGGATATACTATTTTACTTTGCCATTTGAAAAAAATTTCTAATTAATTAAATTTTAAAAACCTGTTTATACTAATGAAGGAATATGCAACCATGAATATTGTTGTTCATATAAAGATTAAATTCATACCCAAATTAAAGCTTTAACATGGCACAATGTCCAACTCTTGGACCACCATCAGCCAACATGTCACAAAATAATCCTATCATTCAAATTAGCTCTTTATTCTTCCACAAGCAAAAATGCAACAGCATTAAAATTTGGGGGGACAGGAGGCACCTGGGTGGCTCAGTCAGTTAAGCATCCGACTTCAGCTCAGGTCATGATCTCACAGCTCGTGAGTTCGAGTCCTGCATCGGACTCTTCTGTGCTGACAGCTCAGAGACTGGAGCCTGTTTCGTTCTGTGTTTCCCCTCTCTCTCTGCCCCTCCCTGCTCATGCTCTGTCAAAAATAAATAAACATCTAAAAATATTTTTAAAAAATTGGGGGGACAGGGGTGCCTGGTTGGCTCAGTCAAAATCCAACTCTTGATTTTGGCTCAAGTCATGAACTCATGGTTTGTGAGGTTGAGCCCTGTGCCTAGCCTCAGGCTCTGTGCTGAGAGAGTAGAGAGCCTGCTTGGTATTCTGATTCTCTCTTCCTCTCTCTCTCTGCCCTTACCCCCTTTCTCTCACAAAATAAATAAAGAAAATAAGCTTTAAAAACAAATTGGGGAGACAAGTTTTGGTGTTCCAAATTAACTTTAACCAATGTTATGTGTTTTGCTTTTAACAATACAAATCAGGTCATCTACTATATCAATAGTCCAATCCATGACTCTCAAATTATCAATTTCTCAGGCTAATTTGGTAGAAACCACCAATATCTGTGCCTAAAAGTGAGTGAACTAAGCTTTCTGGGACCTGAAGACAAGGGTAAAATATAATGATGAAATAAATTTAAAACAAAATGAAAAATATACCTTTATAATGACAACTAAGACTGAGTCATAAGGAGTTTTTTAAACCAAACATTATCTTCAAGTAAGTCTAAAATTTTCATATACCATTTGTGAAGTGTCCAAAGAAATAATTGTTCTTGTCTCATCTGCAGGACACATTAAGCCGTATGATACACTTGTTCCTCCTGCCAAAATAGGAAACAACAACGCTATGTTTAATATTCTATTTTTTAAGCTAAGTTTCTAGGACAAATTCCTAATACAAAGTATACAAATAGGCCCACTAGAAAAGTAATACCTATTTCTACTTTGCAAAACGTAATTTGCAAATGCTAACACACTAAAAGCAAACTCACCTTTATTTTATGCTGCATGCCAAAATGAAGAAATATTATGGAGCTGAAAGCAATGGGATATGGCTCCATCCCCTGGGCACACTCAAGTGAAGCCCCTAGCAATTTGTGAAACTCCAAAAACATGATTAGAAAAGTTCTAAGCTAAAGATTACTGTGGAGATATCGCTTAAAAGAAAAAATACCCTTCCTAATTCAACTAAAGACACCTTACCTTAATTATGAGATTCATTTATCATTTGAAATAATATATTCTCATACAAAAAGACTTTAATAAACTAGAATATAAACAAGTTAAAGTTGCCTGGATTACACAATATTCAAACAAATTTATATGTCAATAGTGAAAAGATGATTTTAATATAGAATAAATAATATATAGAAGTATGTAAACAAAGTACTCCTGTTTTACATTAACATTTGTTATCAAACGAAAAATGCTTTCTTAATACCAGTACAAAATAATACCGTGTTCTCAGTAAACACTATTTGCTTATCACAGTCCTTTGATATCAGAAAAATATTTCCCTGAAAGTGACACTGTAGGGCCTTTTCTCCATGAATTTAATTCAACCCAAATTATAAGCGGAAGAAGGAATCTGGAGCTCCTGATTTGTTGGGGTCACACTTCCATTCCATCAATGCTAACTGAGTTAGTGAAGGCAATTTCCTTTGGCTTGTGTAAGTTATTAAAAAAATGTGGTTCATAAAAGATCAAGAGAGATCAAATTTGTCTTTAAATGCAAAGCAATGCTGTTTTTCAACATTAAAAGGTATTGTGATCTGATCATCATTGCCTTAGTTGATCTTTCACACTGCATAGCATTCCTCCCCAAAAGTATACACTGGGTATATTTAGCCTTTGAAAAATAACATTCACTCCATAAAGACAAAGGTTATAAAGTAATTGCTAAAGTGGGAACATTTTCTTGTTTAAGCATTAAGTCACAGTGTCAACTAGCATCCACATGGGAAAGAAGCCATGAGCAACATGTCTCAAACAGTTCAGGTAAACAGACCTACTATAAAATGAGCAACATAAACCAATTTTTCAGAAAAAACATATCATAATTACAAGAATGTTTGCTTTCAAAGGGATGGCACAAATATTTAGAATATAAATATCTTAAATTTAAAACAACACATTTACATAATATTAAAATTCAAAAGGCATAATACCTACCACCAATTGGTATGATACAAAGGTTATATTTGCACGCTAGATTCACAATCTTAACTACGTCATCATGACATGCTGTTGAGAAAAGGGAAATAAATTAATCACAGGGACATGAGTAAACGCTAGGTAACCCTGCAAAATGAGGGTCTATTAAGTTCTTTAGTGTCTTTTTCATCATTTATGTACTCTTTATTAAGTGGCTACATTAAAACAAAATGTTTATTATTTATCTTTTTAACTTCTTGTTTTGAAATGATTTCATACTTACAAAAAAGTTGCAAATAAGGTACAAAAAATTTCCTTCACCCAGCAGCCACAAATATTAATACTTACATAACTATAGTTCAATTAACAAAACCAAGCAATTTACACTTACACGATACTATTAACTAATTTACAGACCTTATCCAAATTTTGCCAATTGTTTCACTAATGCCCCCTTTTCTGGAACTGCCAATCACACGCTGCATTTAGCTGCCACATCTCCTTACTCTTCTTTAATCTAAGACAGTTCCTTGGTCTATTTTTTGATTCTCATGACCTTGACACTTTTGAAAAGCACAGGTCAGTTATTTCATAGAATCTCTCTCAATTTGGGTTTCTATGTCTCCTCATGGTTAAATTCAGGTACACAGTTAGGCAGGAATTCCACAGAAGTGATGCTGTGCCTTTCTTAAGAGCTACATCTAGAGGCACATGATACAGACAGGTCTCATTTCTGGTAATGTTAACTTTCATCATTTGGTTATAAAGAAATCTGCCAGGTTTCTCTACTATAAGAATGCTTTAATTAGTAAGTATCTTGTAGGGAGACACTTAATCTATATAAATATTTCTCATCATACTTTCACCCACTTATTTTTGCATTCACTGATGGTGTTTCATTCTGTTTTTAAACAAATTTTAAAATACTATACATAATACACCACATATATTCCTTTCTATTGTACACAACTGGCAGAGTACTCTTTATCAGAGTGTAAGCTATACAAGTAACAAATACCTGACAGCAGGTGACTTTAAATACAAAGCATAAGATGCTAAACCTCAATTTGGCTAGCAAGAGGGCATTAAGCCAGGGAGCTGGCATGGCAAAGAAACTATCTGAGAAAGATTAATCTCCTGATAACATGGAATGGCAAGGAAGAGAAAAAGACTTGAGGCAAGGAAATTATGCAAAAATCAGGTATTATCTGCTAAGGGATTGAAAGGGAAATTTAAGGATGTAAAATATACAAATGAATATCCATTTATGAAAGTAAAAATACTGGTCTATAAAAGTTATCATTTCTCAGGTTTGTTTAAAGCTAGGAATATGTCATTTGTATCATTCCAATTTTTAATGAAGATTCACTTTCAAGCTTTCAGATTAAATTTATAAAACTTACTATTTGTGGTAAAAAAATGTATTAAATGGAATCCTAGCTTATTAATAACTAATAAAATACCCAAATATGACTATCAAAAACCTTTAACAAGGCAAAACTACTTCTAGGATTGTCAACTAATCAAAAGGTTTCTTTGACCACGTTATCTGACATGTCACTCCTTCATCCCACTGCTCACCTAGATTCTTGAGGTATGAAACATGATGATAAAGGGAATATTTTAGAAAAACTAACCTCTCAAGAATATATATAGGGTGACCTGGAAGAACAAGAAACTCAAGGTATGAGAGAGAACATTATAGACTGCTGCGAAAATTCAGCTATGCATTGATAAGGGCCTAGTTTGAAAACTAACATGGAAAATAAAAATAGAAGGACAAGGTTGGTAGGGACTGCCATACAGAACGGATTTTATAGAACAAAGAAACTTTTGTACAACAACTAACTCTGCATGTTTCCTAAATCTGGATTTTTAGAAATATCTGTATTTTCGAAAGTAAGACATACATTTTCATTATGGTAAATCCTCAGTACTTTAATATTCAGACACATGAAGAACATACCTAGAAAGCACACTCCAAGTTCTACTTAAGATTTATCAAGGACTTCTGGAAGATGGCGGCGTAGGAGGACGCTGGGCTCACCGCGCGTCCTGCTGATCACTTAGATTCCACCTACACCTGCCTAAATAACCCAGAAAACCACCAGAGGATTAGCAGAACGGAGTCGCCGGAGCCAAGCGCAGACGAGAGGCCCACGGAAGAGGGTAGGAAGGGCAGCGAGGCGGTGCGCGCTCCACGGACTGGCGGGAGGGAGCCGGGGCGGAGGGGCGGCTCGCCGGCCAAGCAGAGCCCCCGAGTCTGGCTTGCAAAAAGCGGAGGGGCCTGACGGACTGTGTTCCGACAGCAAGCGCGACTTAGCGGCTGGGAGGTCATAAGTTAACAGCTCTGCTCAGAAAGCGGGAAGGCTGGAGGACAAAGGGAAGGAAAGCTGCTGAGCCCCCTGACGACAGAGCTCAGTTTGGTGGGGAACAAAGGCGCTCAACAGCGCCATCTTCCCCGCCCATCCCCCAGCCAAAATCCCAAAGAGAACCAGTTCCTGCCAGGGAACTTGCTCGCTCCGCGCAAACATCCAACTATGCGCTTCTGCGGAGCCAAACCTCCGGCAGCGGATCTGACTCCCTCCTGCTGCCACAGGGCCCCTCCTGAAGTGGATCACCTAAGGAGAAGCAAGCTAAGCCTGCCCCTCCTGCCCCCGGCACCTTGCCTACCCACCCCAGCTAAGACGCCAGATCCCCAGCATCACAAGCCTGGCAGTGTGCAGGTAGCCCAGACAGGCCACCCCACCCCACAGTGAATCCCGCCCCTAGGAGAGGGGAAGAGAAGGCACGCACCAGTCTGACTGTGGCCCCAGCGGTGGGCTGGGGGCAGACATCAGGTCTGACTGCGGCTCCGCCCACCAACTCCAGTTATACACCACAGCACAGGGGAAGTGCCCTGCAGGTCCTCACCACGCCAGGGACTATCCAAAATGACCAAGCGGAAGAATTCCCCTCAGAAGAATCTCCAGGAAATAACAACAGCTAATGAGCTGATCAAAAAGGATTTAAATAATGTAACAGAAA